TCACACATTTGTTGGAAAAAAATAAAGGTTCAACACAGTGTGATACAGGACGGTAAAATTTAGGCAAGCACCCAAAGCTTGTGTGTTTGTTTAAAAAAAGGGAGGAGGGGGCTAGGCAGGAGAATTCTGGTAAGCACAACTGCATTTTATAGTCTGTAGACATGAAAGATGATGAAGAATTTAAATGTCACTGGAAATTGCCTGTGATAAGGTTATGACATGGAGAATGTTGGAAACGTTTATGTACATCCTGGTCCTATACTTATGTGAAAAAACTGCACTGAAAAAAGAAGAGATGAGACTATACAGCTAAGTATTTTCTTAGGGGCTGGCTCCTGTGTTTTCCTGAGTTTCCCAAATGAGCTGCCATTGCATTTGTTATCAGGAAAAATTAAAATAATTTTCTCAAAGAAAAGAACTCTGTTCCATATTTTACTCCTTCTAGATAATCAATGGTGCCGACACATCACTGTCAGCTCCGCACATTTAGAAGGAACGGTGAACTGTTTTGTGGGGTTTCCGCAGGAGACCTGGAAGGGGGACGGGGTTACAGGGGCAGGCGTTGTTTGGAGAGTTTATCGCCCTCTTATAGTGCCCTTCCACATAGGGCCAAGGTTTTACAAGCTCAACGTCAGAAAGAACATTTGGTAATGATCCAATTTGGTGGTCTAGAAAATCCCTAAGATGACGTGATTTCCGGGGAGTTCTTTAACTCACCAGTTTGCCACCTGTCTGGGTGATGCTCTGAAGCTGGAAGCTTGGCACTGGTTTTACAAAGCCAGCAGGGTCACCCACAGTGGACGGGCTTCAGCAGAACTTCCAAACTAAGACAGACTAGGAAGAAAAGCCTGGTGATGTGCCTCCGAGACTTAGTTCTGATGTGTCACAGCATTCTCTCTGAGCTAGTGCAGGAAGCTGAGCCCCCAGGCCAGGAGACATACCAGAAATAGAGTGGCTATACCAATGGGCTCGAACACACGGCTGATTGTGACGAGGGTACAGGGGCCAGCCGACGCTTTGTTCTGCCATGCATGAGGCCAGGTGAGTCCCGGTCAGCTCAGCAACAGCTGAGAGCACACTGAATCCGGTGGCACGGATTGGACTCTGTTCCTCCAAACATGTGCCCACTTGACTGGACCATGAAACTCCATGGTTCGGCAGTTGTGTCATGATGTATTCACTCCCATGACGTGAGCTGGTGGGACTAGGGGATGTGGGTGGGGGGTGAGGGGACATCTGATTCCTCTGGGGTGTGGCCTCTGTCACTTTTATAAGAGATGAGAGACGACAGAGAGAGGGATCTGTAACCCCAGCACAGAAGAGCCAAGAGCAGACACAGGGTCCCTGTGCTGGGAACCTGCTAGACTCAGAGGAAGAGCAATGCTAAGGTGCATGGGAATCTCCAAGAACACTGGACTCAGCGATGCTGAAAGGAGACCAGGACTTATCTCCTAAACTGTGAGCCAACAGCACCACAGAGCTAGTGCCCTGAACTCAGACTTCTCGCCCCATAAACTGTGAGAGAAGAAATTGCTGTGTTACAGCCCTCCGCTTGCAGTATTGCTGCAATAGCTGCACTAGAGAACCGATACACTTCTGGTGTGGTGCTGTAGGACAGGCAGTGGACTGGACTGCTAACCACAAGATTTGTGGTTCAAACCTACCACTCACTCCACAGAAACCCTATACAGGGTCACTTTGAATCAGAGCCAACCCAACGGCACTTACTAACAACAATATACTCAGTCACAGGTATTGATCACATGATGTTGTGTTTAGGGATCTAGCCACATGGTTCCCAAGATCTATGTCATCAGCATTGGTCACACTCTGATTCATTCTGACACCCACAGGGAAATGCTGCTATTTGCCAGCTGAATGTTCAAAGACCTTAAGTGGGTCATCTTTTTTAAAAAAGAGTATCAGGACCTCTGTGGCAGACACTGCATGCTTGTCTCCTCTGTGCTTCTCCCCTGAACTGCTGTCCACCTCTCCCCAACTCATTCCCTTGCCTCCCTGCAGCCCCGAGCTCCTGAGGAATGCTCAGTTCCCACCACACATCTTTAGGAGCTCTGGGGGTGCCATGGGATAAGCACTTGGCTGCAAACCACAGGGTCAGTGGTGTAAACCCACTCTTGGAAGAAAGATGAGGCTGCTCCCATGGATATTTACAGCCTTGGGAGCACTGGAGAGTGATTCTACTCTGCCCTATAGGATTTAAACCACTATAAGATCTCTGTTGGAAGACGTGCAGCCAGAGTGTTCCTTGGAGTCCAGGATGGCCAAACTTCATCTCTCATACTTAGGACATATTGTCAGGAGGGACCAGTTGCTGGAGAAGGCTATCATGTTTGGTAAAGTGGAGGGAGGGACAGAGAAAAAGCGGAAGACCCCCAGTGAGATAGATTGGCCAAGTGGCAGCATCAATGGGCTCAAGCATGTCAACAATAGTGAGGTTGGCCCAGGATCGGGTAGTGTTACGTTCTGTGCTATGAGTCGGTACCGACTCAATGGCAACTATCAACAACAACAACAAAGGTCCCTGTGAGTTGGAATTGAACCACCATGTTGAGATGTCTTCCAAATTTTTTACTTTAGCCAGTGGGGTTCTTTACACAATAAGTCCAACACGACCCAAAGGCAGTAATCTGCATTTTGTTCCAGGTTTCATTGTCCTTTGAAGCCTCACAAGGGTCCTTTCATAAACTGTTTATTTCAATAAATGTCCAGCTTCCTAGAGATGGACTCATGCTAACACAGCATTAGTCTAGAGCACATAACATGTCACTGTATGCCTTCTTCTCATAAGGAGTAGGAAAGGACGGGTCATCCAAAGAGTTCATTTACAGAATTAAATGGGGCTGGGTCTGGAGACGGACTGGCACAGTGGCAGCATCGATGGGCTCAAGCACAACAGCTGTGAGGATGCCACAGGCCCAGGCAGGGTTTTGTTCTCTTGTGCATGGACAGTACCCACCAACAGCAACAACAGGTAGCAGCTGTAGGTGAAGTCGTGGGTTAAGTGTTGGGCTGCTAACTGAAAGGTCGGCAGTTCAAACCCACCAGCCGCTCAGCAGAAGATGAGGCCGTCGGTTTCCGATTATAGTCTCAGACTCCATAAAGAGCCGTTTTACTTTGTCCTCTAGGGTTGCTATGAGTTGGAATCAACTCCATGGTTCTGGGCTGGGGTTGGGGTTGGGGTATACATCTTTATAGCCTGACACAGTGAGCCCAGTGCTTCTCCATGGACAGGGCATAAATTTCGATGGCTAAATCTCAGGGCCCAGCATGGCATCCTTTCTCCATCTTGAGGAGGAGCAAGGTCAAGCTTCTGAGGGTAAAGATAAGCTTGATCCAGTGCTGACCTATGTCATAGATTAACCACTAAGACAAGCATGGGGGGGGGAGGGGCTACTTTGCTACAAATACCCCTGGTGGTGGTGGTGGTGGTTATGAGCCGTGGAGTCGGTTCCGACTCATAGTGACCCTGAACAGGATTTCCGAGGCTGTAAATCTTTACAGGAGTAGAAAGCCTCATCTTTCTCCCACCGGACAGCTGGTAGTTTCGAACTGCTGACCTTGCGATTCACAGCCCGATTCGTAACCTACACTTTTTAAAAAATTTGTTGTTGTTGACCCTATATAGGGTTGCCAAGGAGCGGCTTGTGGGTTGGCGCCACTGACACTGTGGTTAGCAGTCCAGTGCTTATCGTACAGTGCCACACCAGGACTAGCTCAGTTCCTATCTGTCCACTCTCTCTCAGAATTACACATGAGGAAGGCAGAATGCCCATTTGTAAAAAGCAACAGGTGCCTTGTAGGTTGTAATACCTGAGACAGTCCTTTGTGGCAGGAAAGGCTGCCCCGGGTGGTCAGCTTACTGGGCTGAGCCCGAAGGAGCCAGACGGCCCTGCGTCAACCACTCATGAGCTGGAGGATTCGGATCAGTCACCCACTGGAGGCGTAACTGTCTCGTCTATAAAACAGCTGTAAGAACGGAACCTTCTCCCAGAACTGTTGTTGTTGTTAAGTGTGGTCGGGTCAATTCCGACTCACAGCAGCCTTGTATAGGGTTTCTGAGGAGCAGCTGGTAGGTTTGAACTGCTGACCTTATGGTTCGCAGTTCAGTGTGGATCGTACAGCTCCACAGTGTTAAATGAGTCTGTCAGTTAGGCAGCGCTGGCATTTAAGTAGTTGACACCTGTTACTACCGTGGACAGAGTTCCTGCTTTTCTAGGATCAGAGACATGTCGTTGTATAAATATGACCTCTAATTCGCTTCTCCAGACCACCGCTTTTGGCAGTTGTGACAACCTATACTACTTTGTTGGATTTCAGATGATGACCTTCCAAGTGCTATATCCCACTAACCCCACCTCACAGGGACCCTTTAAGACAGAACAGGACTGCCACATACAGTTTCCAAGGCTGTCATCTGTAAGGAATTTGATTGCCTCCATCAAATTTCTCCTGCTGCGTGACTGGTGGATTTGAATCCCAGACGGTTGGGTTATACTTTAGCAGTCCAATGCTTAACCCACTGCACCACTAGGGCATGTCTATCTATCTATATGCTCTATAGATCTGCTATGAGGCATCTCTATGTATCTATTTACAGCAGAATGATTTTGATTTTAAATTAAATTCAAGCTGCTGTACTCCCTGACGATACTTGCCAATTTACAGATGGTTGAACATGATCAGGGAATAATGAACTATCCAGTCCTGGTGTAGCACTGTAGGATAAGCACTGGACTGCTAACTACAAGATCGGAGGTTCAAATCCACCAGCTGCTCTTGGAAACCTTATACAGAGTCGCTAAGACTCGGAACCAACTCAACAGCACACAACAACGACAACAGTACTTTTAATGTCAAAAGTCTCCGTCACTGACGATTTCATTTCCGCTGAATTCGTTTGGTTTTTGACTAAACAAAATAACCTGCATTTGCTGTTGCTGGGTGCATTTTGCTAACAACAAGTAAGAAACGTTCATTACCTCGGTGAAGGGAGATTTCTTCTCTGAAACACCAGACTGGAGATTTTTAAGGGCAATGTGACCATTTGTACTGCACTGGTTGTCCCGAAATCCTAGAAAATAAGAGATAATGTCCCTACTTTTTAAATAAGTGAAAGGACAGAGTGAAATATAAACTATACTATAAAACGTAATTTAATGCGCCAGACTGCAAAATCGTTTGAACTGCAAGATCGGTGGTTCAAGCTCACCAGTCGCTCCTCGGAAACCATATACAGGGTCGCTATGGGTTAAACCGATTCACTTAACAACAGCAACAATATAAAACATAATGACTGCTCACATAGTGTACTGGCCAACAGTGAGCCCACTCCATTTCACCCTCAGGATCTGATCCCCTCTTTTTAGACTCTGAGTTTGTTACTGAGTTCATTAGGCTGAATAATTCTTTCTTCCATATAGTTGTTTGTGTTCATTGTTGTTGTTAGGTACCGTGCAAGTCAGGCCCCTACACACACCAGAATAAAGCCCAGCCTCACAATGGCTGATCTGTGGGAGCCCACTGTTGTATCCACGGTGGCAATCCATCTTCTTGGGGTCTTCCTCTTTTTCGCCCACCCTCCGCTTTACCAAGCATGATGTCTTTCTCCAGGGACTGGTCCCTCCTGATAACATGTCTGAAGTATGAGGGACAAAGTCTCAGCATCCATACAATCATTGCTACGCTTGGGCCCTGCTGCTACTCTGTCATTCCATCTCTCTGACCCAGTAATAATCAAATAAATTCAGTTCTCTCAAGTTCACCTGGGGTGATACCATGCATAAAAGAGAGTCACATCCAAAGATTTCCCAGCACCACCACCAGCATTTAGAAAGGTGGAGATGCAAGACCAGCTTCATTCAAACATTCGCTAAGGGCTGTGAGCACCTCAGACACTGAGGTTCAAACTATTTGTAATATATGAGGGTTATTTTGTGTTAGTATCTTAGGAATGAAGGAGACACTGTTTGCAAATCTGTTGATTTGTGCCTCATGCACAATGAGTTCTAATTGAGTGTTGGCCACAGAGCCAAGAATATCACCTGGTCTGAGGCCACACAGCCTGGGACCAAGTATTGGAGAACCTGCATTTGAGTCCTGGCTTCACCATCAATTCTGCTGATGCCAACAGACAAGTCTGGAGTAGTAGGGGCAAGTAGGTAGGAGTCTTCTCAAGAACAGCCTTCTTCAGACATAAGCTGGCAAAGTTGGCCTGGGTCCTCAGGAATGAGGCAGGTCTTACACTGCAGGGCCTTGGCAACAACATCCCGGAAGCTCTCCCAGTAGACCTTTGTCACGTTGCCAATGCAGGAATGCGAATCAGACACAGGGAGGCCTTATGTGGAAAGGAGTCAGGGACACAGCTCACCCAGAGAGCTGGCTTCTGCAGCCCCGGGGGACAATTCTTCTTCCACAATGCAGACTTTCTCAAAAGGATGCAGAACATCGTTTTCCAATCACTGGTGCCGATGATGAGGAAGGGCAGTTTTAAGGAAGTAGCTCTCCAAACCTGAGTCCTGTCTTTATTAATGCATCTCAAGGGTTCATACACCTTTATATAGGATTGAGCGCATCTTAGGCGGGAAATTGCACACTACGGCATTTTCAAGATTGGCAGATTTGCAAAGGGGTCATGATGGTCATGGCTCGGGGAAATTTCTAAGGCTACCACAGACAAGTCCAAAGCCTGTTCATGTCTCGTCTCATTCTTGGGTGGCAACAGACCCTCCACCAGCCCTCACCCAGCTGGGTCTCTCACCGTGACAACTACTGATTGGCAGACACAGTTATCCAGGCTGAATCGCAAATGTAAGACCCGAAAGGTCTCCTGGGTTTCTGTGCAGAGTGGATCTTCATACTGAATTGAGAATTAAGTTGCCGAAGACAGAAATCACCAGCTAATGTTGGCGACATGCCACTTCATGGTTCAGAACTCTGGAATCAGCATGGGTTTTGGGGTCAGGTGGGCTGGGCTCTGTGCCCCAGCATGGCCCCAGGCTGACCTCTCTTGAGTTTCTCCATCCAGAGCCTGTGCATAGCCTTACCATCAGAGGTGGAGGGTGGAGTTCATGTATCGGCTATCACTGATAACAAGTGGGCCAGTACCGGTGGGAAGCCATTGGAATTGGACCCAGAGTCCCAGCATCTGAATCCCAGCTCTAGTTACATACGTGGCTTTGGGCAATTACTCAGCATTCGCTGGTGCTGAGCACAATGCCCAGAGTGTAAAAACGTACCATGAGCACTCACTATTGGGGTGCCATCACCTATATCAGGGAGAATGAGCTGCCCTGAGCAGGCAAGCTGGCCTGCCTGCATCGCCATCTTTTTGACTCTGGCTGTATTCATATTCCTTGGCTGTGGCTTCCAGCCAGCAAACACACCAGTTCACCCTCTTCTTCTGTGGTCGCATCTCCTTCTCACTCTGACTCTCCTGCTTCTCCCTTGTAAAGATGGCCACCCAGTTCATCTCCCCATCTCAAAGCTCTCAGTCACATCTGCAAAGTCCCTTTCACCACGTAAGGGATTGTATTCAAGGTTCTGGGATTGGGATGTGGACATCTGTGAGGGGCCTATACTTTCTACCTATAATAGACTGTTTGGGGAGATTGAGGTTAGCGTCCTAGATGGAACGTTAGGAGCGCTAAAGTGATACTATAGAGACTACATGTTGCTGTTGTTTCATAGCAACTCCACGTACAAGAAAACACTGCCCAGTCCTGCGCCATCCAAGAAGCCAACCATTGTTAGGTTTGAGCCCATTGCTGTACCCACTGTATCAGTCCATCTTATTGGAAGTCTTCTTTTTCACTGCCCTTTGACTTTACCAAGCATGATGTCCTTCTACAGGGTCTAGTCCACTCAGATGACATGTTCAAAGTACATGAGACCAAGTATCACCATGCTCGCCTCCATGGAACATTCTGGCAATACTTCTTCCAACACAGACTTGTTTATTCTTCAGGGTACTTTGAGTATTTTTCTCCAATGCCATAACTCAAATACATTGATTGTTCTACAGTCTTCCTTATTCATTGTCCAGTTTAACAGGCATATGAGGCTATTGAAAATACTATGACACACTACAGTCAGGCACACCGTAGTCCTGTTCTTTGTGTAATACTTTAAAGAGATCATTTGCAGATTTGCTCAATATAATGTGTCTTTGATTTCTTGACTGCTCTTTCCATGAGCATTGATTGTGGATCCAAGTAAAATGAAACCTTTACAACTTTAATATTTTCTAGTTCATTGGTCCAGGAGTGTAATGAGGATTTTAATTGGGTTTGTTTGTTGTTTGTTTGTTTGTTTTTTACAAAGAGTTGTAATCCATATTGAAGACTGTATTATTTTATCTTCATTAGCAAGTGCCATCATCTGCACATCACATGCAGATTATTAACGAGTCTTCCTCCAATTCTGATACCACGGTCTTCTCCATTCAATCCAGGTTCTAGGATTATTTGCTCAGCACATAGACTGAGTAAGTATGGTGAAAGGCTACAACCCTAGCGCACACCTTTTCTGATTTTAAACCAGTCAGTATCCCCTTGTTCTGTTCAAGTGGCTTCTTCTTGGTCTATATACAGGCTTCTTATGAGCACAATGAAATATTCTGGAATTCCCATTCTTCACAATGTTATCCACAGTTTGCCCTCATCCACAAGTAGAAAGCCTTTGCATAACAAGCAAACAATTTTCTGGAATTTCTGCTTTTAGCCAAGCTCCATCTGACATCAGCAGTCACATCCTCTTGTCCCATGTCCCCTTCTGAATCTGGCTTAAATTTCCAGCAGCTCCTTATCAATGTACTGTTACAACTGTTTTTGAATGATCTTCAGCAAAAGTTTACTTGCATGTGATACTAATGATTTTGTTTCATAATTTCTGCATTATGTTGGATCACTTGTCTTTGGAATGGAAATCTTCCAATTGGTTGGCCAGGAAGCTGTCTTCCATATTTCATGGCAAAGACGAGTGAGTGTTGTCTGCATTAAGTCAGTTTGTTGAAACAGTTCACTGGATATTCCATCGATTCCTGGAGCCTTGGTTTTTGGTAATGCCTTCAGCACAGTGTGAATTTCTTCCTTCAATGCCATCTGATCTTGATCATATGTTACCTCTTGAAATGGTTGAATGACAACCAAATCTTTTGGATATAGTTTCTCTGTATATTCTTTCCATCTTCTTTTGATGTTTCCTACATCACATCATTCAATATTTTGACCATAGACTCTCTCTCAGCATTGCAAATCAAGGCTTGAATATTTTCTTTAGTTCTTTCAGCTTGAGAAATGCTGAGCAAGTCCTTCCCTTTTGGTTTTCTGATTCCACACTGTACACAGTTCATTAGAATACATTACTTTGTCTTCTGGAGCTGGTCTTTGAAATGCTCAGCTCTTTTACCTCATTATTTCCTGTGCATCACTTTAACTACTCTGTTTAAGAGCAAGTTTCAGAGTCTCTTCTGACATCCAATTTGATCTTTTCTTTCTTTCCTGTCCTTTTTTTTTTCCACTGTGAAATATTAATTTTTGCAAGTCAATAGCTTACTTACAATAAAGATACAAATCAACAGTGAAAGGATATTTGGAATAATTACAAAGATAATGTGTTCTCCGGGGGGAAAGGCACGCAGAATACATTCTTACAGGGATGCCCAATGGTTTTGTAATCGTTTGATTTTTGTGATACTTCAACATTTTACAAAAATGTGCTTATAGCATTTCTTTTATGGCAATTCTCAACTGCAAATATGCTGAGATATTACCATAGCATATTTAAAGATCTGAGGGAACCTCAAAAGGTAAAATTCAATTAAAAGGTAATAGAATTTTTCAATGAACTTTTTGAAGCTCCTTCATATATGTAGTCTAGTTTTTGGGGCCTCAAAAATATCATAAAGTGTTATTTCACTTGGACAGGGCTAGCCAAATGTTCCAGATAATGATTACTATAAACACACATACACACATGCAGATTTAAAGATTACCATTTTCTACTAATTATTATACACTGAACATCAAAATTTCATCTTTGCTGACAAGAAGCAACACAGAACCCTACAGTGTC